TTTATTTAACCAAGAACATGTGACTGAGACAGGAATTTACATTTGATTAAAAAAAAAAGGACTTTGCCTCCTCATTTCAGAACACCACCTGTATGTATGTATATATATATAATACAATTTAAAAAAGAGGGAGTACACAAGAGCAATTCACAAACACAGGACCCTACAAATAATAATGACAACTACCCAGGAGGCCCATTGTTATAGCCTACTTTACATCTAGAAGGCCAGATATCCTTTGCACTGTATAATGCCAAGCTATCATACCATGTCCTTTTTCCAGGCCAAGTCTATTAGTCCTGACTTCCACCTTTTGAGATTTAGAAATTAAGTAGTCTTTAAAAGCCATGTCATTATAATAGTGTATAACATGTAGACCTATAGACCTAAGTAACCCTATATATATATATATTATATATAACTGAAAAGGGGGGTGCCCTTTTTCAGATTCAGCACATGCCCCTCAAAAGGTCTGTGCACGGCCCTGCAACAGACTGTACGTGAAGTGCTCGTCACACACATACAATAACATGTAACCCTTTAAAACATACAATGTCATAACGCTGTCAACAAAATATCTAATCTAGAAAAATCTCTGGAGTGAGTAGAGCAGGAAAGAACAAAGCACTATTTAACACCATTACACATTTACTAACACGCTGTGTTCATAACTTGGCTTGAAGTGTGCTGGGTAATGATTAAAGACTGTTACACTGACACACAAGGCATTTGAGTGCCACCTTGCCATATTTATCTAACTCCAGAGTTTTATGAGAATTATATATACGCCCAAAGTTTCAAAAAACAAATCAATGACTTAGCTTTGCCCTACCAATAAAACGCTTCAGTTTACCTGAACAATTATCAATCAGTTAGGACTTAACTCCCAGTTTCCACAACCAACCACCTCTGGTGTGCGTTTGCATTAAAATTTCAGGTTTAAAGTACAATGAGGCTTCATCCAGGATACCTGGCCAGTGAGCAGGCAATAACAACTTGCCTGGGGGTATGAGATTCTTTGGTTAATGGTGGGGTGATATACGTAGGTAGATTTACGTAGATTATGCCTTAAAGGCACAAAACAGGAGCATCTTACAGATATTAAATAACCAAAGTAAAGAAATCTTAACACTAACAAGCTGTATAAAACAGTTTTCTTAGAAGGAACACTAGTGCAGTGGGGGGAGCTTTACTTGGTTGTGACATTTTGTTTTAAGTTAAGGTGAAGGAGTGGTCACATACCATTAAGTAATAAACATGGCTGCAGAAGAGAATGCAAAGTTTCATGTTCAAATAAAAAATACAAAACAGTTTCCTGCTTCTTACAACCATTGATCTGTAGAGATAAACGTATCAAACATAAAATGTATTGCTTTTAGTTTAACACCCTATTGATTTTGCCATTACACACAACCACTGAGAGTGGTTCCCACGTATTAGTGCCTCCTGGAAAAAAAAAACACTAATCACCATGAATGGAAGCTAGAGTGCACAGACACCATTTTCCAAATCAGGCGGGAAACATAAAACAACAGCCCCAGGCTTTCATGTGATAACAATCACTTTGTATTAGCATAAACAATGAAGACAAAGACTGTGAAGGAACGCTACGCATTTGGAACACTACTTGGCATGAGCAAAAAAAGCTCACATTGACTCATTATCAGAAGTTCAATCAAATATTTTATGTGACTGATATATTGTGGACAGGTGTAGTGTGGCTTTATTGTTAGCACAAAATTATATGGTCCAACCTGAATTAAACATGAGTCATAGAATCTGGTCAATGATTCAGATTCTTATACTAAAACGCAAAGGACACTTTAAAAAAAAAAAAAAAAAAACTGTGTAAATCATCTATATGTATAAGCAATTAAAACATTGCTTTGTTTTTGCTACACTCCTGTTCTTTTTTCCACACTGTGCTCTATGTGAAACTGATAACCAAGGCTGAATAACAGCAATAGCAACAGTCATCCAGTACACCTGTTGAGACCACACCACTGTGAATAATATTAATTAAAGAGGATTTTAGCAAACAATTTTGAGTTCGATAAAGTGTAGGCTATGAAATTAAGGTGTATTTGCAATAAAATGACAACTGTGGGCTTACAAGCATCTTGAATCGATACACATTCCTTCATTTTCGCACGGCCTGTGTGTATCCACGCAGCGCAGTCCTGTGGAAAGAGAGGGCACAATGAGGCAGAGACCACTTTATACTGAAACGACAGAAGCAAAGACCCTTTTATATTCAACAACCCTGAAATAGTAGCAAGTTAGCAACATATTACATTTCTTTTATATTTACAACACGCATATCCCGCTTATTTCAGATAGAAACAGTCCCTCATATATTTAAGTTTGTTTACTTTTTTTGTAAATATACATTGCCTCTTATCTGTGAGTGTGCCGCGAGATAACATTCAGATTCTTTCGCTCAGACTCCCCGCTTTGAATGACAATATAGCCTAATTCCCGCTTTGAATGACAATAGAACTCTTATCTCATACGAAGCAATATAAAAAGTATGATTTCAGATAATATTCTAATAGGCTACTTAATTAGGCAGCGGAACTTTATCGTTTTAACTGTAACTGTTGGCTATGAAGATCTGCTGATTACGTCCTTTTGGTCTTTTAGCGCAGTCAAGCGCATGCATCAGATTTCATTCTTTTTCGTTTCAGAATATAGGTTTGCATTTTCCATTTGTGTATTTTAAATACATAGACTAGCTGACTGAACTTACAATCAGAAGGGAAATCACAATCCGTTGTGGGGAAAATTGCATTTCATCACAAACGACGATGTTTCAGAATTTTATGATAAGAAGTGGACAAAACAAATCTCGGAATTTTATATTTTCGCCCATTACCCCACCTCCATACTAAAGAAGAAGAAGAAGAAAGTTCAAATATTGATTGTTCTTTGTATGTAAAAGACACCGGCACAATAAAGTATCAAGCCGCTTCGTGTACGAGAAATCCCACAAAACTCATTATGTATGTTTCCAGTCGTAATATTTGAGGATAGAAAAATACCATATCAAAAGCGTAAAATATATCTGATATAATCTACTGCAGTGATTGAACAGTAGAACCCTGATGACAATCTAAATCACTATGCACGTTGATAGGTCGTTTACTACCAGTGCAGCGAAGCGACATTTACTTTGTTACTTTCTCACGGTTCAGACAAGGACAAAATGCACACTGACTCAAGTAATACAATGCCCTCTAAAATTATGAATGTTATGTAGAAGAACTAAACTCGTAAAAGTTACACCACAATAAATAATTAGCAAATGCAACATTCCTCACCAACAAAGAGAATGTGTCCTCATGTGTGGTTTGAATGCTTTAAATCCCATCATCACTGAATAAATCGTGCATAATGTTCAGCAATGATCTCCACAACGTTATTCGGCGCGTACTAAAATTGCAGCGGTTTATTACAAAAACTTAATGCTGCACATTTAAATGTATCCTGATCCTGACCTAGTGATGGACTGAAACAAACACGTTTATGAGAACAGACTAGTTATCAATGAAATATCCTGCACCAGATTTCAAAAAGCTATGGGCAAAGCCGCAAATAAACCTAATAAAAGAACATTAATAAAAGACAGGTCGTGATGTTTTGTTCTTTCATTGGTTCTAATGTAACAGGTTATAGCCTACGTCCACACATATCCTTATATATAAATCAGTTATCCAGACAAAAAGAGAGAAAAGAATCAGTCATCTTACCTTCGCTGTTTTGCATAAGATATAAAATTGACAGAAATATCCAAAGACTGTAATTCCCCATTTCTGTGGAAACTCGATCCTACTCCTTTTTTGAAATGTTAGCAATAATACATCCTTTAAAAAATGACACGGTGATTAAAGTTCCAAGGAATCACATTAAGATGAAGTAGCGTCATAAAGATAACTTGAGTGAATTTCATAGAAATTGAGCGTTTTCAATATAGTCCAACTCCGTATTTCCTCTGCAGCTCAAAAACAAAAAAACACTAATCACCATGAATGGAAGCTAAAGTGCACAGACACAGTTTTCCAAATCAGGCGGGAAACATAAAACAACAGCCCCAGGCTTTCATGTGATAACAATCACTTTGTATTAGCATAAACAATGAAGACAAAGACTGTGAAGGAACGCTACGCATTTGGAACACTACTTGGCATGAGCAAAAAAAGCTCACATTGACTCATTATCAGAAGTTCAATCAAATATTTTATGTGACTGATATATTGTGGACAGGTGTAGTGTGGCTTTATTGTTAGCACAAAATTATATGGTCCAACCTGAATTAAACATGAGTCATAGAATCTGGTCAATGATTCAGATTCTTATACTAAAACGCAAAGGACACTTTAAAAAAAAAAAAAAAAAAACTGTGTAAATCATCTATATGTATAAGCAATTAAAACATTGCTTTGTTTTTGCTACACTCCTGTTCTTTTTTCCACACTGTGCTCTATGTGAAACTGATAACCAAGGCTGAATAACAGCAATAGCAACAGTCATCCAGTACACCTGTTGAGACCACACCACTGTGAATAATATTAATTAAAGAGGATTTTAGCAAACAATTTTGAGTTCGATAAAGTGTAGGCTATGAAATTAAGGTGTATTTGCAATAAAATGACAACTGTGGGCTTACAAGCATCTTGAATCGATACACATTCCTTCATTTTCGCACGGCCTGTGTGTATCCACGCAGCGCAGTCCTGTGGAAAGAGAGGGCACAATGAGGCAGAGACCACTTTATACTGAAACGACAGAAGCAAAGACCCTTTTATATTCAACAACCCTGAAATAGTAGCAAGTTAGCAACATATTACATTTCTTTTATATTTACAACACGCATATCCCGCTTATTTCAGATAGAAACAGTCCCTCATATATTTAAGTTTGTTTACTTTTTTTGTAAATATACATTGCCTCTTATCTGTGAGTGTGCCGCGAGATAACATTCAGATTCTTTCGCTCAGACTCCCCGCTTTGAATGACAATATAGCCTAATTCCCGCTTTGAATGACAATAGAACTCTTATCTCATACGAAGCAATATAAAAAGTATGATTTCAGATAATATTCTAATAGGCTACTTAATTAGGCAGCGGAACTTTATCGTTTTAACTGTAACTGTTGGCTATGAAGATCTGCTGATTACGTCCTTTTGGTCTTTTAGCGCAGTCAAGCGCATGCATCAGATTTCATTCTTTTTCGTTTCAGAATATAGGTTTGCATTTTCCATTTGTGTATTTTAAATACATAGACTAGCTGACTGAACTTACAATCAGAAGGGAAATCACAATCCGTTGTGGGGAAAATTGCATTTCATCACAAACGACGATGTTTCAGAATTTTATGATAAGAAGTGGACAAAACAAATCTCGGAATTTTATATTTTCGCCCATTACCCCACCTCCATACTAAAGAAGAAGAAGAAGAAAGTTCAAATATTGATTGTTCTTTGTATGTAAAAGACACCGGCACAATAAAGTATCAAGCCGCTTCGTGTACGAGAAATCCCACAAAACTCATTATGTATGTTTCCAGTCGTAATATTTGAGGATAGAAAAATACCATATCAAAAGCGTAAAATATATCTGATATAATCTACTGCAGTGATTGAACAGTAGAACCCTGATGACAATCTAAATCACTATGCACGTTGATAGGTCGTTTACTACCAGTGCAGCGAAGCGACATTTACTTTGTTACTTTCTCACGGTTCAGACAAGGACAAAATGCACACTGACTCAAGTAATACAATGCCCTCTAAAATTATGAATGTTATGTAGAAGAACTAAACTCGTAAAAGTTACACCACAATAAATAATTAGCAAATGCAACATTCCTCACCAACAAAGAGAATGTGTCCTCATGTGTGGTTTGAATGCTTTAAATCCCATCATCACTGAATAAATCGTGCATAATGTTCAGCAATGATCTCCACAACGTTATTCGGCGCGTACTAAAATTGCAGCGGTTTATTACAAAAACTTAATGCTGCACATTTAAATGTATCCTGATCCTGACCTAGTGATGGACTGAAACAAACACGTTTATGAGAACAGACTAGTTATCAATGAAATATCCTGCACCAGATTTCAAAAAGCTATGGGCAAAGCCGCAAATAAACCTAATAAAAGAACATTAATAAAAGACAGGTCGTGATGTTTTGTTCTTTCATTGGTTCTAATGTAACAGGTTATAGCCTACGTCCACACATATCCTTATATATAAATCAGTTATCCAGACAAAAAGAGAGAAAAGAATCAGTCATCTTACCTTCGCTGTTTTGCATAAGATATAAAATTGACAGAAATATCCAAAGACTGTAATTCCCCATTTCTGTGGAAACTCGATCCTACTCCTTTTTTGAAATGTTAGCAATAATACATCCTTTAAAAAATGACACGGTGATTAAAGTTCCAAGGAATCACATTAAGATGAAGTAGCGTCATAAAGTTAACTTGAGAGAAATTCATAGAAATTGAGCGTTTTCGATATAGTCCAATTCCGTATTTCCTCTGCAGCTCGGACTCGGCTGCTGTGCGTCTCGAAACACCTCCAGGAACTTTTGAAAAAGTTTCTCCACTTCACTTCGGATCCGAGTCCACCGCCAGGCTTCGTATCACTCCGCCCACCCTCTCAAGCCTTCGCTCACTCAAGGATGTTGTTTGTCCTTCCGCTGAAATGAATAGTGCAGATTCGTCAAGGGCTTGGAAATGAATGCAAACGTCTTTCGTTTTCATCAGAAAAAGAGGTTATGTGGAAGATTAAAACTTAAACGAGAGTAACATTTGCTCTTTGTATATCACATAAATACACAGGTAAACTAATGAAATGACTAAAGGTAAGAAAGTTTAATATGAAGAAAAAGTTGATGTTAGTAAACGGTAAATAGAAGGGGCAAAATAGCGAGTCATGTTAAGTTTAGGAATATAGTCGATTGAAATATATTTATTTACTAGAAGAAAATGGAAATATAAGGCAAACTAATGTTTTTTTCAGAGTGTATGTGCAGACAGCAAATCTGAGGTGAATTAGCTGTCTGTTTGGTCTAGTGTCTGTAGGCTAACATGGTTTCTTTAATTATTAATAATCACCCTTAACTGCATGACAAACATCCTTAACAGTTTATTTTAAGGATTATTATTATTATATTATTATTATTATTATTATTATTATTCATTATTACTGAAACACTTTCAGAAACAAAAATAATAGTTAAAGGAAATAAACTGTATTGTTAAGATATGTTAAAGGGGTGATATGATGTTGCTAAAAAGAACATTATTTGGTGTATTTGGTGTAATGAAATGTGTTTATGCGGTTTAAGGTTAAAAAAACACATTATTTTCCACATACTGTACATTATTGTTTCTCCTCTATGCCCCGCCTTTCTGAAACGCATCGGTTTTTACAAAGCTCATCGGTCTGAAAAGCGAGGTGTGCTGTGATTGGCCAGCTATCCAGTGCGTTGTGATTGGCCGAATACCTCAAGCCTGTGACGGAAATGTTACGCCCCTTACCATATTGTGATGCTGTGTCCCGGCCGGAGCGACGAGACAAAAACAGGAAAACCCATTATAAACGAGGCATTTGTTGCATCCAGTGGGGACAAAATTACGGAATATAATGACTTATACTGTCTTTTTTTTGCGTTGCATCGCGCCGCGTAAACAAAACCATGTCTGCATTTGGTAGGCGTGGTTGACTCTTAGTTTTTATAAAGAATATCTCTTTGGATTTGAGACTTTAGTCTTTGCAACTTTACAGATCTTCTTTATGCACACCAAGAGCTTGTAACACTCCAAAGAGAAAGGAAAAATTGAAATCGCATCGTATGACCCCTTTAAAACAAAACCATGCTAGTAAGAGCTAATCAGACACTGCTAAGCATAGCAACTTATCTAAGACTTTAGATTAAAAACAATTAAATTGGACACTAACATTATGAAAAATTCTATATATACTTTAAAATACTCTAAAGTTTTAGATTAAGATATTTAATGTATATTGCCAAACAATGTAGTTGTCTGCAATTTCTTGGTGAGCTCAAACACAACTAACACACTAAGACAAAAAACAAACAAACAAACACATTCGTACATATGGAGATATGAAATGGAGATAAGGAGACTTGTTAATCTGTCTTTGAGCCCTGTTTGACTTAATCGTATAAGGGGCCTTGCATTCTCCCACATGATGTATGTATATGGTCATTTGTTTGTGTATTTACATTTGTTCCTCTTCAGGAACTCGAGCTGCGTCGGAAACGCTAGGGGAACGCCTTCTGTGACCACGCTCTGAATAACATGTGAAATCAGTCCAATAGCTGAGCGGGACGTCACGGGCGGGTGACGTCATGACCAGGAAGCTATAAAAGCACGTGCGGCGGAGCCAGCGTCAGCTTTCTGTCATTCAGCGAAGCGCTCTGTGTGTGTCAGTCATATTTATTGTTGTCTGTCAATTGTGAAAGTCTATAAGCTCCAGCTATGTTCAGTTACCGCCCGGCAACGTAGCGGCACTGAGAGGCTCGCGGCCTCTGCCGAGGTCCCCAGAGCAGCTAGTTCGGTCGTCCCCTGTCGGCGTGCAATCCGGCGTGCTAGCCGTTCTGGGCACACCAGAGATCAGTCTCGAGAGACTGATTCCCTTAGTAGATTATTTAGCAGCGTGGAAGCTACTGCCAAAGGTATCTCAATGGGTCCTGCGTTTAAGAGGCTAGAAAGAGGCTACGGAATCCAGTTCGGTTCTCGTCCGCCTCGATTCAACGGGGTCACCCCCACGCTAGTGGGTCCTGAGCAGGCTCTGGTATTAGAACAAGTAGTAGTTACTCTCTTAAGGAAGGAGTCCATCGAGGTGGTCCCTCCGCACGAGATAGACTCCGGGTTCTACAGCCGTTACTTCATTGTTCCGAAGCACATGTTATTCAGAGCGTGGTCACAGAAGGCGTTACCCTAGCGTTTCCGACGCAGCGTCTCATTCCCTCGAGGAACTAGGGTTACATACGTAACCTGAGACGATTTTGTGATGAAGAATATGAATTGTGTTTGGTAGATGGAAATGAGAGCAGACGTTGCCCTCCCTCATTTCTCACAAAGCAGCATGGATGTTCATTGAAGCTTCTTCACTACACCCTGCCCTGGTATACTCATTTTCTGCAACATATAGAGCCTCAGTTGTTCTGTGGCACATAGCAGAGCTGGTTGCTTATAGAGACAATGGCAGTGATTTGAATGAGAAAAGGGCTACTGCATTATGACACAGTTTCTCTCTGCAGGGGGTGCAGGAGGGGGGAGGGGGCAAAACACTAACATTTAGGGATGTGTTT